GATTCAAACAGATCAACAGCATTCAAATCCCTTCATCAACGTATAAAAGCGATAACAAAGAAAAGATGAGTTGTTTCTTACGCATTTTCTGCACTAGGAAAATCTTTTCTGCATCACTAAAGTGCAAATTGACTGTTTTGCTAATTATCAATATAAGTGTGAACAAAGTGTTGTTACGCGGAAAAAATCATTATACTCCCTTTGAAGGCTTTTGTCTATTTTCAAGACAAGTGGAAGTTTGCACACTTTCGACATACCTATATAAATGTACGTGTCAGACTTGGATATATCTAAATTTAATTTCGAAAATCTATAAACTATTTTCAGCCAATCCAACTTGCTTCACTGTAAAGCGCAAACCTTCGAACTGTCCTCGTATTAGCGCTGATGCTCCCGAAAATGAATTTTGTTAGATGAGGGAGAGACTGGAGAACTTCTTTCCAAAGATAATAAAGTGGGGTTAAAGTGCTGTGAGAGGATTGCTAATTTATTATTATACTTATGTCATTAGCCTTTTTGGAATGGTCTCATTCCCTCTCTCAAAATCGCAACTGCGAGACCGTGCCGAAGTTTCTAGAATCTTCCGCAGAACCAAGAAAGTATACCAAGTCTTATAGTCAGACACAGTACATGTAAGTGTACATAGCACAGTGCGCAGTACATTGGCTAATTTACACATCAAGTGCATACAGTATTTTTGGGTAGCGAACTATTCCCAGTGGTTGAACAGTGAAATGAAAAGTTGTTACCTGGACCGGTCTGGAAGCATTCCAGTCATTGCCCCAGCCGTCTTCTTCAGCGCCATCTTCTTCAGCTGTCATCTGAACAAGGCAGATCACATTATTTCGCAACTCATCTATTCTGCGATAGCAGTTACTTGCCTGAAGTTTTTCTGCCTCAAGCTTGCTGTTCCGCTCTTTCAGTAGAGCCAATTCCTTCTGCGATTCCACCAATGCGTACATTTTCTTTTGTATCTCTAACTCCAATTCACCAACTTTCTGAATAGCCTAGAACAAAATTCATTCATAACAACAGAAGTTTCAAACGCTTTGCAAGTCACCTCATCCCTGCTCCTCTCAAGTTCTTC